CTTCAAGACCACGGCCACACAGCCCGGAAGACCTACACCAGCCATCGTATGCCGGCCGTGAAAGCCTTCGACAATACAGTGCAAAGTAACAATTTCTTCTCAGATATCACTGACCTAAGAATTCCATTTATTCTCATCTAAGGCTGCAATCCAACCCATATGTTACTTTTCCCAGAGAGTAAAGCCTGAGGATTCACTTCCATTAACTTCTGAAAAGCATAAAAATTCATGGCAGAGTGTTTGTAAAGTTCAACAATACAATCCAGTGTGCATCTATTTAAAAGGAAATCCAGTAACAGTGGATGTTAATCTCAGGAAGTCTGTATAGGATTGCAGCCCAGATTAACTGCCATGGTCTCATATACACACTGACCTATGGTTTTTTTAACTGTCATTTATTGACTAATTCATTATTGTCTAGTTTGTTCTTCAAGCTTTAAACCATAGTTGGTTAGTATAATATCTGAAGCCATAAATTATAGTTTTTAAACCATCATGGCTGGGTTCACATAACACACAAAAATCAAAATCAAGCAAACCACATTACGATTTAACCTGTTCTGAATCCACCTAATAAAATGATAGTGTTGAAATGTAATGTCTTCCACTTAGTTTTCTAAAATAATCCCCCCACCCCCAAAGTGTGCATGTTGATCCTTGGGCTGATCCTTTAAATCAGGCACTGCACATCTTTTGTGAGAAAACACCAACAAGCACTGGAAACTTACTACAGTATCCCTTCATTGTATGTACTGAAATCCTTTGCAACTGCACTAAACTGTATGTACTGAAAAATCCTTTGCAACTGCACTAAAGCACCCATTTCTCATTTTTAGAAATTATTATCTGAAATTCCAGTACTTATGTGACATCCTCAACTCACTCAACTCATTCTACTTTCTATTTTTGACAGTTGCCAACTTGTCTGGAAAGAAAGGCTGTTTCATGTATCAGCAGCAAGAATAAGGCTTTTTTAAAAAAAATGTAGTCTCCTTTGAGCCAACTTCAGTTCCTGACAGCTCCCTGGATACCTGCATGTAGCATTCTCAGCAATAATAAGGAAGTGGTTTCCCAGCACCCTCTCCTGGAATGTTTTCGACTTCCCAAGCTCACCTAATTGCTCTGGAATCTCCTAATGGTCTCCCATCCAAATACTATCTAGATGAACCCCATAACTAACCAGATCAAACACTGCTTAGTTTTGAAAACAGCCAAAGTCAGCTACCTGCTGCCACCTAGCCGAGCCCCCAGGATGAGGCACAGGTTTCTAAATAAATCCGTGCTGGTTAATGGGAGGTCTCTTTCCCTGGGGTGAATGAATACATAGCGCCTGAGGGTTTGGCGTTCTGTAAGGCATCGGGGTCACTTCTCTCCCAATGCAGACCGCAACGAGGGGGGTATCCCCACCCTAATGTGGCTAAAATAGCCGGTATAATTGCGTGATTAAAGCCATGGCCGTGTGAAGCGCCGGAGCGCGAGGACTATCGATTTACCTGCTGAACAGCGGCGTCTCTAGAAGCCTCCCGCTGAAAGGTTGAGGCGCAGCTCGCTAAATCTTGCCAGTCGATGGTCGCAAAGGCTATAAGGGGAAACGACAGACCAATCATTGGAAGCCAACTTCAAAGGCTGACAGACGTGGACAAGAGACAGGGGAAAGTGTGCAAGGAAAGCTAGGCTTGCGCTGGGCGAATCGCGTTTTTTTCTTAGTGTCGTGGCAGACGATTAAACTAAAGAAGCGTCTGTCCTCCAGATAATTTATTCCTGAACAATGATCAGCCTCAATAGCTGGGCAAAAAGAGACACAAATGGCGAAAGGGGCAGTTGTGAGGAATATGTTAAGAAAAAGATGACTAGAAGGATCGTCAATGTAAGTGCGTGTCTGTGTGTGCGCGTATAATGCCTGAACATATCTTCATGCTGGAAATGACAGATTTCAAACCGAACTCACCAGCCTCTATTGAGTCCGGAGGTGGGTCGTTATGAATAATTATGGGGCAGCTTCTGGGATGCAGGATCTTCCGTGGCACCTGCCGGCAGACAGTTGCAAACAAAAACGTTAAACTTTTTCAGGCAGCCTCGGCATATTTCTCAGCCTCAGTGAACTCAGGGGCTCTTACTTCTTAGGTTGGGCTGCCTAATCTCTGAGTACGCGAAGCTTTACTTCTGAGTCAAAGCTGGCTTGTATTGCGCAAGGACATCTTTACTCTCTTTTTAAATAGGGAAATATATAATATAATATAATATTATATATATAAAACGGAAGACGCCGGGGCTCGGATTTCTCCCTTTGCCATCTTCTGTCAATATGAGATGACTGGCGGGGGGCATTCAGAGGGCAAGAAACTCTGCACATGCTCAGAGATGCTCGCTTCCTTATCAGTTCCCATCTTCTAGCGGTTGCACGGGGAAATCCTCTCTTTTTCTGGTCCAAAACATGCCCTTGGTTTAACCACTGGGCGACGCTGTCTCCCGCCCGAGAGGGAGCGAGCGAGCAAGACGTTTCTCCGGCTCGCGACGTTGATCTCCAGCAACGCACCTTTCTCTCTACTTTGCTCGGCTTTTTGCCCAGCCTGCCGACCAAATCTTGCACCCTGTTGGGACAGAGGCTGCCACAGGCTTGCCTGCCGCCGCCGCCGGCCCCGCCGGCGCGCTTTTGCATCGCGACCCGCCGCCCAGAACGCGTCGACCGATCGG